CGATGGAGAATCCTTTTTATTTTTTGGTCCAAAGCACAAGAGAAGCGAGGGCTGTGCTTTGAAGCCGAGGAGATGAGTTCATGCCTCAGTGCTTGGGAAGCTGGAGAGCCGAGCTTTGCAGTTCATCTGGATCTTCCACAGCTCTCCAGAAAACATTTAATAAAGCTCTCAGCCTGCTTTTCCAGGGACTGCTGCTCCTCACACTCAGCTGGCTGTGCCAAAGGCTTTCCCTCTCTCCTGGCTGTGGGAGCCTGCAGAGCTGCTCCTGACGTGTTCACTGCACCTCGGTGGGCTCAGGGGGAGCATAGTCCATGATTCCACAGGACAAGGAATGGCTTCAAACTGCCAGAGGGCAGGGCTGGATGGGATCCTGGGAAGGAACTGTTCTCTGTGAGGATGGTGGGACACTGGCACAGGGTGCTCAGAGAAGCTGTGGCTGCCCCTGGATCCCTGGAAGTGTCCAAGGCCAGGCTTGGGTCAGCCTGGGATAGTGGAAAGTGTCTCTGCCCTTGGCAGGGAATGGCACTGGATGAGATTTCAGATCCCTTCCAACCTGGCTCATTCTAGAATTCTCTTTCTTTTGACCAAATAGCTGGTTTTTTTCTTATTATTTATTCCTATTTGCTGTTGTTCCCTTTCCTTCTGTTTTTCAGGATGTCTGTGCCATGCAGTGCACTTGGTTGGATTTGTTGATCTTAGAGGGCTTTTCCAACCTAAACCATTCCATGATCCCCTGATTCCTTTCCCTCCAACTCCACACTGCCCTGCTGCTCAGCTCCTTGCATGGCAGCAGTGCTGTGATTCCCAGTAAGGAATCCCAGTGTGGTTTGGGTTGGAAGGACCCTAAAGCCCATCCCATTCCATGGGCAGGGACACCTTCCCCTCTCCCAGTCTGCCCCAATCCCAGCCCTGTCTGAGCCCTGGGTTGATTCAGGACAATGTGGGATTTGTTTCCCTGTAGAAGAGCCTGGAGCTTTCCCCAGGCTGGGCTGGGCTCTCCAAGGCCGGGATTAAATCCTCCCTTGGAGTTTTTGGGAAGCTGTGGCAGTAACGGGGCGGGGAGGAGGGACCGTGGCCATTCACAGCCCCCAAGAAGAGCCTTCACTCCTCTGTATAATGGCCTTCTGTTGGCTTTTAGTGGGGTGCAGTTTAGTAAATTAGGAGTCTTCAGGTACTTAGCACTTTAATGGTTCTCACTAAGAACATAATTAAACCATAGACCCCGTAGGGAGAAAAAAAACAGTTTATTGTGTGTATTTTTAGACTCTGTTACCAGCCCTCATAAAACCTGCTCGATCCAAGCCAGGGAACAGGCCCGAGCTGGCGACCCAGAATTCCTGCAGCAGCACTCACACCTTACAAATCTGCCCCGTGAATTACAGAATTCATTTTCCTGCTCCCATTTCCAAAGGCGTTTGCAGCAGCGGTTCCTCCCCGGCTGCTGGAGGGGAGAGGGAGGCACCAGGGTTATGATGTTGTGCTGACACACAAAGCCACGGTTTGCTAATTGTTTTTTTTTTAATTTAAAAACATTTTCAGTCCCAAAGAGGTGCCCAGAAACGAGGCTGCTCCGAGCCCAGGGCTCTGCTCCCTCTCCGTGTCCATCCACCTTGGGATTGTTGAGTTCCATCTGCCCTGGAGCTGCAATTCCCGTGTTTGTGTGTCAGGAGATCCCAGTTGTGGGTGTAGGAGAACTCCCAGCTGCTCCTAGGATGCTTCCTAGGATGAGGAGATGGAGAGGGAATTTTCATCAGGCACTGGGGTGATGGGACATGGGGGAATGGCTTTAAACTGGAAAAGAGCAGGTTTATGATGGAAGATGGAATAAAGTGGATTAAGATGGAATATTGGGATAAAATCCTTTCCTGAGAGGGTGGGAGGCCTGGCACAGGGTGCCCAGAGAAGCTGTGGCTGCCCCTGGATCCCTGGAAGTATCCAAGGGCAGGCTGGATGCAGCCTGGGATAGTGGAAGGGGATTGGAATTAAATAATCCTCCAGGTCCTTTCCAACCCAAACCATTCTGGGGTTCCATAATTCCCCTCAAAGCAAAGTGCAAAGCTCCAAATCCCAGGAATGAAAGAGCCTGGAAAGCTTTTCCCTCCTCTCTGACACCAACACCTCCAACACCACCAGGATGTTCCCATGGGTTAGGAATTCTCTGGAATAGCAGGTGTGGGGCAAATTCCCTCTCCAAAATCCCATTTCTCCAGTTACAGGATTTCTTAGGGTGGCATTTATTAACATATCAGAATTTGGGGCTGTTCCCTTTGAAACATTTGCCATTTTCTTGTCCTGGATGGAAAAATCTCCCAGTGTCAGAAGATTTCAGGTTGACAAAAGAAGGGTGCTTTCCCCAGCTGTGGGTGCCTCTGGTGGGCACGGGCACAAAAAAAAATCCAGGAAGTTTTCCAGCATCCCGGGCTCCTGGTGATTCCCAGGCTGCTCCATCCCAAGGAAACACAGCTCCCTTCCCAGGGAACCTGTGCTGTGCAGCATCTGGAAGGCATTGCAGGAACACACACACACATCTCCTCCCCCAGCAGCTTCTAAGGCATTTCTGGGACGTGTGAATCACTCCTGTCACTGGGCTTTGCTTCATCCTCAAATCCAGACTGGTTTGGGCTGGAAAGGATCTGAAAGCTCATCCCATCCCATCCCTGCCATGGCAGGGACACCTTCCACTGTGCCAGGGTGTTCCAAACCCATTCCAGCCTGATCCTGGACAATTCCAGGGACCCAAGGGCAGCCGCAGTGCTCTGGGAGTCTGGGTCCTCCTCCTCATCCTCACCTGGCCAGGAACTTCCACTGCAGTGGGATTTGAGGCTGGAGTTTTCTCTTCCCGCCCTTAAACAATTTGGGATGGCAGTGTCTCCAGTCCCAGCTCAAACGACAAGTGGGAACAATCCACATTAATGTATTAATTACAATTTTAAGTAGGTGTGGCGTTAGTAACCCTGCCTGCATGAGGCAAACATTCCAAGCTGTTGGACCGATGCCTCAGCTGGGCCAGGATTGGTTAAAGCACTTAAAAATAATAATAATGATCATAACAACAACAACAATAATTTAATATTGATAATAATAGTTTAATATTTATAACAATAGTCTAATATTTATAATAATAATTTAATATTTGTCATTATAATAATTAATAAAGATCATTATTATTGTGGTAATAATGATGATAATAATAAATTGTGGTAGGTAATAAATTGTGGTAATGTGATACTAATTGTGATAATGATGATAATAATAATAAGTTTATCATTGTGATTATAATAATGCATTAATAATGTTATAATGAGAATGATAACGATAAGAATAACGATAACAGTAATAATAATGATAAAATAATAATAATGATAATAATAACAATTATAATATATATAAAAATAACAATATCTATATAAAATATTTGTTATATATCTATATAATATATATAATATCTAAAATATATATAATATTTATAAAAAATAACAATATATAAAATAATAATAATGATAATAACAGTTATAATATATATAAAAATAACTATATATATAAAATATATAGTATATATCTCTATTATGTATATAATATATAAAATATGTATAATATATATAAAATAACAATATATATAAAAATAATGATAATATAATAATAATAGTAATAATAATAATAATAATAATAATAATAATAATAATAATAATAATAATAATAATAATAGTAATAATAATAATTTGAAGTAGCCAAGGAACAACCTGTCTGTTTGGAAGGATAAAAGCATTTCTCAGCAATCTGGGATCAAAAAAATCCCTCTGTGAGGCTCGCTGGGAGGAGCCCAACACGGGATTAACTGGAAGCAGGTCCTGGTGGAGGGGAAGGAGCCCGGGGGACACCTGGGGCTGCCCTGACCCCCCAGCCTGGCCGAGTGGCCTTGGCAGAGCTCCCTGACCCCAGCCCGGCTCCATCCGGCCAGGAAGGATGCGGTCTCCTGTCCTGAGGGGCCACTGCAGCCTCCAGCCCAGGCCGAGCTTTATTAATCCCAGCTTTGCTAATAAGGAATTACAATAGTTGTGGGATTTGGCAGCGGGAGCGTGCCTGGCTGCCACGCATCCTGCAGGATTTGCCCTGTTTTGTTTGTATTTTGGATTTAGCTACAAATAATTTAAAGATGTGTTGTGTCTCCTTCAATTAGCGTTTGTGTTTTCGACGGTTTTCGACGTCCATTTCTACAGCCAGTTGTCATGTTGTTGAAGTTTTTAAACAGTACCAGGGAATTTGAGCCTGTCAGATATGTTAAGATAAATTCACATTTATATTTTGCTCCAGTTGTGGGATTTCTTAGGGTGGCATTTATTATCATATCAGAATTTGGGATTGTTCCCTTTGAAAAATTTGCCGTTTTCTTGTCCTGGACGGAAAAATCTCCCAGTGTCAAAAAATTTCAGGCTGACAAAAGAATAATATTGTCCCAAGGCCAGTATGTAAATACCTTAACCAGTAGAGCAAGTTTAGAGGAATTACACTTTCCTCTCCCAAATTACCATCTTGGAAAGCAGCTCTACCAGCACATTTATTTGAATTTTAAACATTTTGAAAGCAGATCTCCAAGGTTTTGAAATCTGGTTTCCATTCCTGGCTCTTTTTGACCCAAGGCCTGACCCCAAGCAAATCTTAGGCTCAGTTTCTGGATCTGCTCCGTTACTCTGAGGATCCTCACTCAGTTTAACATCCCTCAGTGCTGATCTAAGATTTCAGTGTTAAATAACAGTGGGGTTAATTTAAGATGGGGCTTGGTTATGACGACAAAAGGGAAAATTAAAACTCTTGCTTTTTAAGAGATGAATTTGTTTAAAGACGCGCGGAATGAAGTCATTTTGTCCGCAAAGAAACAAGTTCCCAGAGGCGCAGGATGGCAAACCTGGGGAGAGAAACAAGGAATAAGGCCAGAACTTTGCAGCAGCCCTTCACAGCAAGCTTTGGAGGGGATTAATTCCTTTTCTCCTCTGCCACTGCAGACGCAGCCGGTGCCCAGCCCCATCTCGTACTTCATGCACCGCTCGCCCTGGTGGTTCCACCGCCTCGAGACCTTGGTCAACCACTTCATCGAGCTGGTGGTGCCCTTCTTCCTGCTGCTGGGCAGGAGGATGGGCATCCTGCACGGCCTCCTGCAGATCCTCTTCCAGGTGAGCTGCTCCTGCTTCGTGTCCTCCAGGCCTCAGGTTTTGGCTTCTATATTTTTCAAATTCCGTGCTGCTTTCGTGTGTAGTTCTGAGATTTATGTTACGGTGCCTCAGGTTTAACTTTTATATTTTTCAGGTTCTGTGCTGCTTTAGGCTGTAGTTCTGAGATTCATGTTAATGGTGCTTCAGGTTTAGCTTTTCTATTTTTCAGGTTCTGTGCTGTTTTAGTGTGTGGGTTTGAGCTTCCCATTAGGGGATGGTGAGCTCTGTGCACAGAGCAGGGAGACAAAACAATTCCTGCTCCAGCTGGGCACCAAGGACAAATGATCCAAATCTCAGGCCCAAGAGCATAAACAGTGTGGACTGAAGAGAGAAGAAGGATGGGACTGCATGGGCTGGAGCTGGAATTGGACAATTAGCTCCAATATGCAAATGGAGCAGAACTTATAAAAGTGAGAGGCCCTGTGACCAGTCGTGCATTTTGTGACTATTTTGGGTTCACCTGGGGTGTAGCCCTGGCTGATCTCTTGTGCTGCCCAAGGTGGATCCATTGAGGAGATCCTTTCAATAAATCCCCACTTTATTCTCTAGCTCAGCCTTCTCAAGGCATCATCCTGAGGGTCCCCTTCTCTCCTGGGCTTCCCACTCCTCCCAGCAGGAGCTGGCTCTGGGGGCAGGGTGGGAGTTCAGGCTCCAGGGAGTGAGGATGATTCCCAGCCAGGAATTCCTGGTGCTTCCCACTGCTGGAGGTTTGGTTTCTGTGTGGCAGAGGAATGGCAGTCCAGGATCAGTGCAAAGGCTCTGTGGGGAATCCTTGTGGTTCCCCCAAAAGTTAATTTTTACAGACATCTGTCCATCTCTGAAGGGATTCTTCTTTCTGCATTTATCTTTTGAGGATTGTTCTTTATCTCTGGAAAGGGTTGAACTGTTCTTCACAAATACCAAATTGCCTGTGCTGAGGTTTAAAATCAAAATAATTCCTTGAAAATTTAATGGATTCACGTTGCAGTTGATTTTTTGAGTGGTTTTTTTTTGTACCTCTGCAGAACTCAGAGGACAGAAGCTGCTGCATAAATACTTCCCTAGAGCCCATCTGATTCCTCTCCTGTCTGTCCTGGCAGAGTTCAAAGAGCTCATGAAGCTCCATTTCCAGCCCTTGCTGCCCTGTCTTTGTTCAGCATCATGAAATTCATACTCAGGAGCTGTTACTGCTTCCTGTGAGTCCATGTGATGATTAAGCTGGAGAACAGCTCATAAAGCCCCCTGGTAAACCACAAAAATGCTGATCAGGTTTTAAAGGTCTGACAGAAACCCCGGCGGGTTTGTGCCCTCCCGGTTCCTCCTGCTTCCCAAACGCTTCCTGTTGTGTCTGGGTGCCACTGAACAGCAGCTTTTACCTTTTTGGGGCAGCTTTGGTTGGGTTGGGATGGATTTGTGCAGATGGAGGGAGAGGTGTGACCCAGGGAGCTCCCGGGGTGTCACTCCACGGGTGCCAGCTGTGTTTGTGACACCCCTGAGGTTGTTGGAGGCACTGGGAGGATTTTATTCAGCCCAACCCTAAGAAAACTCCACTGACAAAGCAAAACCTACCCTCTCTTCTGGTTAAGATGAAGGAGGGCAGGGTTAGATTAGAGATCAGGGAGAAATTCATCCCTGTGAGGGTGGGCAGGCCCTGGCACAGGTGCCCAGAGAAACTGTGGCTGCCCCTGGACCCCTGGCAGTGCCCAAGGCCAGGCTGGAGCACCCTGGGACAGAGAAAAGTGACCCCAGGAGGGCTGGAATGAGATGATCTTTAAGGTCCCTCCCAGCCCAATCCATTCCATGCCCAATGCTCCCCTGTCATCCCCTTCTCCCCTCGGGGCTGCTCCATCCCTGTCACTCCCAGCCAGGAACCTCCGGCTCCTTCCCGGCTCCCCCAGGGCCCCTAACGAGGAGCAGGGCCCTGGGGGGGCTGGGGCACCTCAGACAGGGCTGAGCCCACCCCATAAATGCCCTAATGACAGCCAGTCAGTGCAGGCATCAAGCCCCTTTAATTGGCCCTTTATTGATAGCTGGCAATTACTGACTTATTTCGATCACGAGGGGAGTCTGAGCAGGCAGAAAGGGTCCCAGTGTAAGAGGCAGCTCTGGTGCATTTATAGCATTTCAACAAAAACCTGTTTATTTAATATTTACTGCCCTTTTCTTCATTCAGAATGACTTTTATTGACAATCCTTGTGCTCTGCAAAGGAAGCAATAAAGTTTAATGTTGATATACCACTTAATTCTGCTTTTCAAGATTTGAATTGACATTACAGACAAGTTTTATTGGACATTTTATAATTGTTATTGGAGTCATGGTGGCGAGCTTGAGTGAGTGTATTTTTCCAGATTCCAACTGGCCTGGAGAATATTGCTTTGTCAGGAACCCAAAAAAAGTTGGGCTTTAAAAGAGGAAAGTGGGGTTTTTTTTCCAAGTGTGAACTTATTCTTCTTGCCTGCTTCACGTTTGTAAGGAAAAAAGCTTAGAGAGGGTGGAAACATCAGAGAGGAGGTGCTCAGCAGCCTGAGCATGGATGTGTGTCCACCAGGGGATTCCTGTGGGGTTGGGATTCCAGCCTGGAGTTATCCCAAGGGAGCTGGAGGCTCCACCTTGTTCCCACCCTGGACGTGCACAGGAGGTTCCTCTTGGGGTTTGTGTTTGGTGGCATTTGGGGTGGGATTTAGGGATTTAGGGTGGCTTTGATGGACACCACAGTGCTGCCAGCACCTCAGTTCCCCCCTGGAGGGGCCACAGGGACCCTTGGGATGAGCCCATTCCCAGCAGATCCAGGAAGGGCTCGGTGCTGCTGCTCCTGGCCAGGAATGCTCCCTCCTGCTGTGCTGTCCTGCCCCTCGGCTCCGGGGCTTTTGCCACGTTCTCTTTGTGAGCTCAGCTCAAACCCCACCATTTCCATGGACCTCCTGGTTGTGTCTGCCAGGAATAAATTATCCCTGGAAGTGTTCAGAAAACGGTGGATGTGACACTTCAGGACGTGGTTCAGTGGTGAATGTGGTGGTTGATGGTTGGATTTGATGGTGCTAAAGAGCTTTTCCAACCTTAACAGTTCTGTGATGGGCTGGGTTTTGTAGCAGGGACAGGGTGTGGGCCTGAGAAATGCACACCTGGATCTGAAACACTCCAATATTCAGGAAAAATCAAATTACAAACACAGCTGTCAGTACCTGGAGGGGAGCAAAACATATTTTGGAGGGTTTTGGAGACCTCAGGTGAGGTTTGGACTCTTATTCTTGGTTCTGCAAAAGCACCAGGGCAGAGCCTGCCCATACCCCAAGGAGTCTGTGGGGTGTGGGAGGTTGGAAGTGCTGCTGGGGAAGGCAAATCCTTCAGCTTGGTGAGGATTTCATTGCTCCCTGGATCTGCCTCCTCAAACCCTAGATCTGCCTCCTCAAACCCTGGATCTGCCTCCTCCAAAACCCTGGAGCTGCCTCCTCAAACCCTGGATCTGCCTCCTCAAACCTTGGATCTCCCTACTCCAAAACCCCGGATCTGCTGCCTCAAAATCTTGGATCTCCCTCCTCAAAACCCTGGATCTGCCTCCTCAAAACCTTGGATCTGCCTTCTCAAACCCTGGAGCTGCCTCCTCCAAAACCCTGGAGCTGCTGCCTCAAAATCTTGGATCTCCCTCCTCAAAACCCTGGATCTCCCTCCTCAAATCCTGGGTCTACCTCTTCAAAACTCTGGATCTACCTTTTCAAACCCTGGATTTCCCTCCTCAAACCCCTGGACCTGCCTGCTCAACCCCTGAATCTGCCTCCTCCAACCCTGGATCTGCCTCCTCAACCCCTGGATCTGTGTGTTGTTCACTTCAGAACTCTGGATCTACCTTTTCAAACCCTGGATTTCCCTCCTCAAACCCCTGGACCTGCCTGCTCAACCCCTGGATCTGCCTCCTCCAACCCTGGATCTGTGTGTTGTTCAGGCTGTCCAACTCCCAGCTCACACCAAACGTATTTCTTGGCTCCCTGGAAGCCAGGCAGTAAAATCACACTGCTTGGCAAACGAGTTGATGAGGGGAAGCGAGAGGGAAGCCAAAAAAAGAGGCAGGAAAAAGCCACCTTGCCCTTCAGAGCTGGCAGTAGGGCTGGGCTGGAGCGAGGCAGGGAAGGGACCAGGGTGGATTTGGCAGTGCCAGGTGGGAAGGAGCTTCAGGAGCAGAAAGGTGAAATCCATAAATGAATAAATAGCATGGGAACTGCACAGTCGGTGCTGCTGGAAAGGCAGGGGCACTGCTTTGATTCCCAGTCAGAGCCATAAAGGCACAGAGTGGGGAGTTGAGAACGTGGGGGAAGCTTTAAGCTTTTCAGTCCCTTTGGATGTGGATGGATCTGTGGAGTCTTGACTCCTTGCCCTGGCCCCTGGAAGCTCCTGGCAGCATCCTGGTGGCTGCAGAAGGCCCTGGATGAGCTCAGCCCCACGTCCCACACAGGACAGAGTGCCTGGAGGAGCTGGGCTGGGCTGGGGAACATCTCCAGATCCTCGGTGGTGACTGGAGGCTCTGCCCTGCTCCCACCCAGCAGGGCTGGGACGGCGCTCAGCAGGAGCCCTGCCTGAGCACAGGGTGACAGTGCCAGGGACACAGGGTGACAGTGTCAGGGATACAGGGGTGACAGTGCCTGAGCACAGGGTGACAGTGCCAGGGACACAGGGTGACAGTGCCAGGGATACAGGGGTGACAGTGTCAGGGACACAGGGGTGACAGTGCCAGGGACACAGGGTGACACTGCCTGAGCATAGGGGTGACACTGCCTGAGCACAGGGTGACACTGCCAGGGACACAGGGTGACACTGTCAGGGGCACAGGGGTGACACTGCCAGGGACACAGGGTGACACTGCCTGAGCATAGGGGGGAAACTGCCTGAGCACAGGGTGACACTGCCAGGGACACAGGGTGACACTGTCAGGGGCACAGGGGTGACACTGCCAGGGACACAGGGTGACACTGTCAGGGACACAGGGGT